ATCTCCTCTCAGCTGGGGCTGGAAGAAGGGATCCATCTCCCAGATCGCCGCCTCATGGGTCATCGCGCCATTCCTGTCCGCCGCCTTCGCTGCCGTCCTCTTCTTGACCATCAAGTTCAGTGTCCACAACCGCAAGGACCCCTTCAAGTGGGCTTTGCGCCTAATTCCCTTCTACCTGGCTTTCACCGCTGGTGTCCTCGCACTCTTCATCATCGACGAGCTGCCAAACGGCGAGTCTCTCGAGGAGATGGGCGCTGGCAAGGCCTGCGGTATCATTCTCGGTGTCTTCTTCGGCATGCTTGCCATCGCTTACATCTTCTTCATCCCTTACTTCACCCGCCGCCTTGTCAAGGGCGACACCAGGCTGAGGGCGTGGCACATTCCTCTCGGACCCCTTCTGTACCGCGAGAACCCTCCCATCTACTTCCCCGGCAAGGGCGACCAGGTCGTCACCGACTACTACGCGAAGGCTGCCCCTGTCCCGATCCAAGAGAACGATGGACTCAAGGGCGAGAAGGCTGTTGGCCACTCCACTTCCCTCGACAACAAGTCTTCTGACAGCGACAACATTGACGTCGAAGGTGGCCGCGGCCTCTCCCGTCCTCTTCCCCGCGATGGCGCCGTAGCTCACATTGTCCCTGCCACTCCCGAGCCTGAGGAGCGCTGGTTGAAGCCCGTCGAGCATCTCCCCGCCTACTCTCCCAAGAAGATCGCCAACTGGACCAAGTTCATCCTTCTCCAGGGTATCTCCCGCGACGTCGTTAGCCAGAAGGATCTCGCCGATGTCCACTCCCGCGCTGTTGTTTACGACAACCGCGTCGAGCATCTCTGGACCTACGCTCAAGTTGCCTCCGCCATGATGATGTCCATTGCCCACGGTTCCAACGATGGTAAGCTTACTTCCCGAAATACCCTCTTCCACACACAAATGCTAATTCCACATCACAGTTGCCAACGCAGTCGGCCCCTGGGTCGGATCCTACAACACCTACACCACCGGCGTCGTCACAAAGGAAGCCGACACCCCCATCTGGATCCTCGTCGTCGCCGGTCTCCTCCTCGGCCTCGGTTTCTGGTTCTACGGCTACCACATCGTACGCGCGCTCGGCAATAAGATCACCCAAGTCTCGCCCACGCGTGGTTTCAGCATGGAGCTCGGCGCCGCCATCACCGTGCTCCTCGCCTCGCGCCTCGCTCTCCCCGTCTCCACAACGCAATGTCTCACTGGTGCCACCATTGGCGTTGCGCTCTGCAACTTTGATCTCAAGGCCGTCAACTGGAAGCAGGTCGGCTTCATCTTCTCCGGATGGGTCATCACCCTGCCCGGTGCTGGTCTTATTTCCGGTCTGCTTATGGTTATGGCGCTTAACACGCCCCATTTCTAGATGTTTGCTAGAGCTTTTTCTTCCTTTGGACTGTTTGATAGGTCCTCTTTTTGTTATGCGATGAATGCGCGGATGGGGCATGATATGGAGTATGATACCAATCGTTTAATGTACCAGATTGTAATTTATAGAGTTACGCACTATGAGTCTCCCGAGAATATCGCATGTGATGAGTGATTGTCATAAATTTCCAGCTCGAGGGAAGGAGCGTTTTGCTTGCATTCCCCGAGCTGGATCAAGAGGTGTCGTCTCAATGCCAACATCCGCTCGGCGATATACTCGGCTGCAATGGATTACTAAACGCCATTTACAACATCGTACCGTACAAACTCGAGCAGACTCAGCGACGACACGAGCAGACATATCGAGGAACACGCGCAACAATACTCATCGCAGGCAAAACCCAAGGTCTCACTCAAACCGCGCAAAGATATAAGGGTGGAAGCAGCTCGAAGCCACCGAAAAAATTGGTATTCCCCTAAAACAGCACAGCACAGCACAGCGCAGCACAGAACCCTGTCGGGGGAGGCTACAAATACGGTCCAGTCTACCCTGACCCGTACACTGCATTGGCAATAAAAAAACGTGGTAAGTGTGTCAATGACACACAAACTCCATACGCCCAGCACAGTAAAACACCGCCGGCCCGAGCGAATAAAAGACAGGCTTCAGGGCCTATGCATTACATCATAAAGCGAGGCTAGAAAAGGATGGCTGAGAAGCGAATTAAAATAGCGATAAAGAGGTGATGAGGAGGACATGAGCAGACGCGACGAGGGTGTGTGAGTATCGGTGTGCCTATGCGGTCTGCTTGCTGGACGATTGTTGGAGTTCGTTGACAAAAGCGTCGTAATCTGCGGCGGAGGAACCGGAGCCTACTATGCTGGTAAGCCATGGATCGGACCGGCTGCTTCTTCATCTTCAATAAGCGTCTGGGTTGGGGTAGAAAGAGGATGGCGAAGGGTGCTGCTGACCTTGCGGTGGCTCGTCGACCTTTTGGCGCTTCTCGGCGTAGTCGTACGAACCTTCAGAGCTGGTGTGCTTGTTGCCTGATGCGCTGTGTTGGGCGGCTGCTGCAGCTTGCGCTGCCATTTGCAGTTCGCCGATTTGGTGCTCCGAGAGTCCTCCATTGTTGTTGTTCGAGCCCTGCTGTTGCTGCTGCGGTTGCTCGGGCTGTTGGGGCGGCTGTGGTGGGTTCGGTTGTTGGTGCATGTTTGGCTGTTCGTGGGGGCGATTGAGATCTACACCGGCCGGCGCAGGTGGTATCTCGCCTTGGGTTTCGAGTAGTCGCGATTGCAGATTGATAATGTAATCGCGCAATTGGTAGTTCTCGGTTTGAAGCGTCTTGTACAGTTCGCATAGCTGCTCGAACTCCTTGACCTGGTCTTTCAGCTGCTTGATGTACTCTTCCTTACGCTGGCGGAATGCGCGCTGGTAATGTTAGCTTGTGCCATTGGAATGCGCGCGTTGCATGTACCTGGGCAGCGCGATTCTGTGCGGCACGCTTAGATGTCGACAACTCTCTCCGTCCCTTGGAGCGACCCTCGCTCGTGTTCCCATCGTCGGGGCCGCCGGCGCTCATGTCGTAGGCGGAGCCCCCAATGGCCGGGTCGATGGCGTGTGGTGGGCCAGCAGTGTGCGGGTGCTGGGGATGCTGGGCGTGGGGGGAATGCTGAGGGAGAGGCTGCACGCCGGGCTGTCCAGCGCCAGCAGCGAGCAGATGTTCTCTTAAGCCTGCGCGACGAGACGTGTTAGTAATCGGCAGGAGGGTAGGGATGCGCGGGGCACTAACTCATCTCTATGGTCGGCTTGGATTGATCCTGAAGCGGCGTGTCAGCAGCGCAACGGGCCTGAATAGTCAGCGCAGCTTACCTGAGCGGCAGATGCCTGCATGTTATAGCCAGTGCTGGCTTGGATCGCGGGATCCAGAGTTTGGCTCATTCAAGGCGCGTCGCACGGGAGCACCGCAGCGAGGGTGGTGTGGCGTTGATTAGACAGCAACGTGGGAATTGGGGCGGCAGCAGACGGGGTGGCAGCAGCGGTCCTCGGGCGCGGTCCGGCGGCGGTGGTGACGTCGCGACAAGGTGGTGGTGCGAGAGGGCAGGCTGCCGTGCGAAGAGAGCGCGCGGGTGCTGTGAGAGTCAGCTTCAGCGCTCGCCAGCGCCAAGACAGGCGCGCAGTGTTGCGACGGCATTTTGGTTGCGCGTCTCGGGTTGTAGGACGCTGGGGCAGCTCACCTGTATCGTGACGATGCAGTTGGTCGAGTGGATTACGCAGCTTTGACTAAGAAGAGGGCGATGCGCGCTATATACAGAGCAGGGCGGCAAGGTCGGCCTCGGGAACGCTCAAGCAGCGCAGCAGGACAATGCAATCCATGGCACACGCTCCCCTCATGCCATCACGACTCGCCCCATCTGACGCTGCGCAAATCAGCGCCCTGTCGCCCTTCTCTGTCTGGCTTCGGCTGGCATCCGACGACCTGCCTACCGCTTCCCACCAGCGACCTGCTTTTTGCGCGCTGATGCTGACCAATTCCCCGACTCCGACCCTGTGGTACCCGTCAAACACACCTTAATCCTCTACAGGCTAGTCTCTCGCGTTTGATTACAGAGTGTATATCGGATGTATGTGTCTCCAGATCCGAAGCTCCCGTAAGGACCGAATGCAGTGTTTGTTGCGCTCTGAGATAGGTTAATCGCTGCTTCAGTACGCCTTCCTTCAATGTCTCCACGCTGATGACTTGCCGCGCGGATCAGCCGTTGCTATTCCCATCTGTCCATCTAAGCGCATGTGCAGCATCAGCCGATGGCTGTCAAGGCGAACCTTGTGATACTCATCCCATCCCATCTAGTTTCATGCACGAGTCTTGTCATTACACAACTCACATTGTCTTCCTCAAAATCTTGGTTGGATACATGGCCGTTTGGGTACTCCGTAATCTTCGAGACCCTTGGTCCATGCGCGTTTGCAAGGCGTATCGTAGTAGCTAGCTCTCACTCCTACTCCGCTCCTCACTATGCATCGCCTTTGCATCTGTTGTGCAACTCGCAACTAATCATCCTTCTCTTCTGGCACAGTCTGATAGATTATCCCTATACTCTTTCTGAATAGGAAACTAGCCGTAATCCATCAACGCTTGCGTGCACTTGAACCCCTCATCACCACCAAAGTCCATCTACATCATGACAAGGCCCCCAAATCTCTTACGGGCTCTCCCGTAAGTCCAACGACTAGTTTCCCCAAGACTCCAAGACCATCAAACAAGCCACTCCCTCGTCTGACCAAAGCCCCGAGCACCTGCCTTGATGACTCAGAACTCAAACCCATCTAACCATCGAATCACAGCCCATCGTACATCGCGTCGTGCCACCATCATTGTCGCACCAAAACGTCTTTGCTGACCCGCTGCAAGACGCAAATCCGGCCGCAACAAGCTACCTCCCTACCTTATGCGGGATACGCAAGCACTACGACGGGGTTCCGGTCACTATCCACTGGCTCTCGTCCGTCATCTAGTCCGGCAGCGCAGCCGAAACATGATGCAGCATATGACATGATCTACGCTGCCAACCAACCCACTGACTTACCCGAACGAGTGTCCAGCCTCTCTCCTGCATGGCAAATCAACGCTGCGAGGAAGAGTATCACGCGCACCTTCACATTTACCAGTTTCGCAAAGGCTTGGCGGTTCATGTCGCTCGTTGCGGATGAGTGCAAGGTCAAGAAGCATCATCCGAGTTGGTCGAATCTGTATAATAGGGTCGAGATTGAGTGGACTACGCATAAGCCCGAGGGATTGAGTATCAAGGATGTGGACATGGCCGAGTTCTGCGACCGGAAGGCGGCGGAGATTGGACTGAAGGAACCGGAGTGATTGAAGTGTTTGAAAACCGCGGTTGATCGACGATCGGGGGTTAGTTAATGCTTCTGGGTAGAGTACATACTGCAGCTGCCCAATACGACCGCTAGCGCGAAGTCTTTTAGTAAGACACCCGATCTTGCCTTTGTCGACATCATAGCTCAGTATCTTTCTCCTCGTCTCTGATAGTTCAAGTTCACTCGGCAGTGGCTGCTCTTTGATGGACACTTTTATTCATCTTAGCCCTTGTACAATCTCAAGCTGATCTGGTTTCTCTCCACCCCACCTGACCTGATCACTTGATTCATGCCACTCATCTCCGCTCGTCTAGCATCCGACCATCACACCAACATCGTCAACAGCCACTCTCCAGCCTTCCTCATCTTCAACACCATCGCCCTGCACACTGATGGCAACCGAATGACCAACGCCTCCAGGTACATCTTGCACTTGAACTTTTCCTCCAACCTTCGTCCAGCCTTCTTGTCCAACCCCCATATGAACTGCTTCTCCACAGCTGACTTGATCGAGGAAGATCTCAACGCGCGTTTGCCCATTCGGTCTCCTTCCGGTAACCCATGCGTAGCAATCGACCGTCGCACCGATAGGAAGATCAATGTAGGATTGCGATAACGTGAGTGTAGCTTGGACCGCTGAGCTATTCGATGTCGCGGCGTAGAGATTACTGCCGGAGTGTCCGCCTGTAGGGGAGGTGGATATCCCACGCGAGTACCACGAACCGGTCACCATATCCATCCACGGAGACAGCACAGGGATCTCGAATGAGGGATTGACAACGGCATTCGTGCAGCGCTTGACAGAAGGCGCTTGCTGCGGTGACGATAGTGGACTGGCTTGTGCGGTCGCGAAGGTGAGGATGGCGCACACAATGAAGAGTAAGAATTCCCGGAGAGACATGATGACGTAGTATCGATGTTCGGTATGGTCGCACAACTGGGCGATTTTGCAGACTGAAGTCGCTTTTTTGAACGTGATCCAAACTGATGGAATGCTCAGCTTCGTGTAGGCTACAGGTAGCTGAAGCAGCTGAGCCGAGGCGGTTGAGAGTGAGACCTGACGAGAAGCCGCGTGTGACGTGAGCTAGAGCTTGCTACCAGCGCACTTGGACTTGAATTGTTCCGAGTCTGTGGATCGGTCTTTAGACTGTGATGTGGAGATTTCGTATATGTTGTGTGTGACGTGGACGGGTATGTGAGCTCGCAGTGTTACTGGTAGTGAGAGAGAGAGAGGTTTATGTAGCAGCTGAACTCTGGGCGTGAATGTGTGCAGAGCAGAATGTGAGTATCATGTGACCAAGGCGTAGTGAAGACCTAGGTATCAGGTGTAGGGCCGACGAAGGTGAAGGCAGAGGTAAAGGTAAGAAATGCGCAAAAGACATCGACCCCTACCATAAATATACAATCGCAGACTCGCGTTGCATAGTTCAACACGAAAAGCACACTCCAGGCTGTGATCATGTCGAACAAGCTTCAGCTGTCAGGGTCAAAACCTGATCGAAAGGAGCTAACCCGCCGCGCCACATTGTTATCGACTGGAATGCGCAATGGTAAACACATAGAAGCTGTCCTTGGTGTTGTTGTTGACAGGGTTGGACGGTTGGTAAGAGGCAAAGGTGGCGTACGCATAAGCGAAATTCACGGGGCCGTTGCGCATCGACTTGGCACCACTCCCCATCGCAGTACGATTCAATTCGACTGTCGCGCCATGTTACAAGCCACAAGTTGCTCCAGATGTCGGACATTTAATAACGAATGATAGACATGCGGCTGATTATTGGCGAATGTGAGAAGCTTAGGTCAGGATTCTCCGAGCCTATGGGACCGTCATCCACCGTTTTCTGACAGGGACTGGGTTGTTAGAAGCGAAACGGAAAGGAGATCTAGATTGCGAAAGAAGGAAAGGAGGAGCAGTGAACTTTGTCTGAACTTTGTCGGATTTATGTGATTGGATCTTTGTTAGCCCATGGAGATTTCATGCTCCTGGGCCCTGCTCATAGCGGCGTACTTTTGGGGTATATAGCGAGCCATCGAATCAACCTGTGCGGTTGTCGAAGGCCGGCTGGTACGCTTCTGTCGCATACTGATGCAGTTGTAATGTCCGCCTCAAACGCCGACCGTGCAAACCGTAGCCTCATGTCGTCATACTATAAATCGTGTCGCTCATGCGGGCTGTTCGTATGCCCTCTTGATGACCCTTGCAAATTCTGATAGGCTTGTTAGCAGCGACTCGACGTTTGTGGTGCTGGTGTGCTTACGATCGAACTTGACGTTCTCACGGACAACGGTGCCCTTAGCCTCGTTGTCCTTGTTGATGGGCACCTTGATCTTGGCACCATCGATGTTCCATCCACAAACGCTTCCGACGAAGTTGTCGAACTCGCTGCCGGAGAGGTTCAACCACGACTCGAGAATGCTGCGGTCGACCTCGCGCACCGCCTGGCTGACGGTTGCAGCGATGCGTACGCGCATCAGCTCCTCAAACCCTGAGACGTCGGCAATCAAGTCGGCGTACAGGTCGTCGGAATCTAGTGTGGACCAGAAGGTAGAGTAGTCGGCACCTTCAAGCAAATTCCTCAGCTCGTTGAGCTTCTGGACAGCTTCTGATAGCGGCGCGTCGCCAGCAGCTGGGTTGTGTAATGAAGATGAAAGAGGAGCTAGGACGTGTGGAGGGAGGAGGGAGAGGCCCAGGGAGAAGTCGGGGCTGGGGAAGACGGTGAGAGCCTTGACGAGGATGTTGGTGATGGTCTCGTCACGGGCAAGGTGTGGGTTGAATTGGTAGCTGGAGCATCGTGGTTAGCAGATGAAACGATGATGCTTGAGGTACAATGGTAGTCAGGAGAAAGCTGTCAGATAGAGCTAATAATAAACTTCAGCGGAGGAGTGATTCATGCTCCATCCCTCGGGTAATAGGAAACGTTGTGGTTGTTTATTCATCTTGTAGCATGGGGGGGAAGAGTAGGGGGGACACGTACAGCTTCAACAGGGCGAGGTTGGCGTAGCAGTCGTACGTCTGGTTCTCGCACTGCTGCATGACATAGTCCTGGAAGACACCCGTCGTCTCTGGGTTGTAGCGATCCAGTCCATCGAGGATCTGCTGCATGTGATCCGGCCGCTCAGGCGCGAAGTCGAAAGGGGCGCCCATGGTGGTTGTGTGGATGAGCGACGAAGAGTTGGTGTTGCAGGCTTGGTCAAATTCGCTCAGTGCGACAAAAGGCGCATTGGCCACCGAGCAGCCCCGCGTCATATTCAAAAAAGTTAGACCCCGCCAAACAATCAACTGTGGAAATATACACGAGAACAACCAGAATGGCGCCCTATGACAGTGATTCTTCAGACGATGGGGGCGACTACACCGAGACGAATGTTCTGCTAGGATATGCAGCGAGGGAAGCAACGGGCGACGCGATTTCCCACATTGGAGGCGCACCGGTACGCATATCATCAACCACGCCGAGCGTCTTTCTGACGATCATAGTAGAGCTGGATAGACGAGAAGACAGCCCCTTCTGGCGCCTTAGCAAAATGTAAAGTCTGCAATGGCTACCTCAGCCTCCTCCTCGAACTTAACGGCGATCTTCCCGACAATTTTCCTGGCCACGAGCGGCGACTTTACATCTGGACATGTCGGCGCAAGCCATGTAGAAGAAAGGAGGGTAGTGTAAGGGGCATTCGCGGAGTGCGCATCACAAAAGGCGCCAACAACAAGGCGAACGCCCCCAGGGCCGAGAAAAAGGAAGTCAAGGAGGAAGAGAAGCCGCAGCCCAAGATTGGCGAGTCGCTGTTCGGTGTGAAGAACGGGACAGGCGCATCGGCATCCGCGAATCCCTTCTCGAACCCATTTTCGTCCAACCTGAATGGCGCAGCGTCATCGAACCCCTTCTCCAAACCAGGTGCCAATCCCTTCGGCGCATCGAGTCCCACGCCCGCAGTGCAAGTCAGCGAGCCTCAAGAGAAAAAGGACGAAGCCTCCACAACCCTCCCCGAGACGTTCGCGTCCAAAGTTCGTCTCTCGTCACCACCTCCCTCCGAACAACAACCCCCGCGCCCACATGAGCCATGGCCAGCAGACTCAGCCTTTCCTACGCCCTTCCCTCACTATCATCTCGACGCCGAATACGAGACATTAGACGCCCCTTCAACACCCTCGATCCCAGCGAACGTGCGGATGGACACAGATAATGAAGGAAGCGGTAGCGGTGGTGGAAAAGAAGACAAGGAGGTGTTCGAGTCATCCATGGACAGGACGTTCCAGAAGTTTGCAGATCGCATCGGAGAGAATGCAGAGCAGGTACTACGATATGAGTACAAAGGCAAGCCGCTCCTGTACAGCGACAACGATGCTATCGGCAAGCTTCTGGGTCCACACTCAGAGAATGGTTCCTCGTCGAACGCAAAAGTCAAGACAGCAGGCTCACGAAGTGGGGCAGGGTTCCCTCGATGTTCGACCTGTGGCGCGGACAGGGTCTTTGAGGTTCAACTAACACCACATGCGATCACCGAGCTTGAGGCTGATGAAATGAGTCTCGACGGCATGGAATGGGGCACTATTATCATGGCAGTATGTAGCAAAGACTGCAAACCCAACGATGTTCAGGAAGGAGAGGTTGGATATGTAGAGGAATGGGTCGGAGTGCAGTGGGAGGAGGTGCCTTCGGGCAAGTAAGATATGGATCATACACGATACCAGAGTTCTGTGTTTGGAATAAACGATTCAATACCCGACCTCACATCGTTCAGGCTGCTGTGGCTGCCGTAGCTGGCGCAGCTACCCTCGTGATCTGATCACCAGCCCTGACAACACCGAGCCCTTTGGTGTCTCTGGTGTCTTTCTCACCACCTGTCTTCCAAACTTCAACTTCCTGTCCGCCTCGCAATATCCCAACACGCATTGTCGACAGCAAATTATGTGCCGCATTTGAATGTTCGTATACCCCACCGTTGAACACAGCAGTAGCGTCCTTCCCAATCGCACTCATGATCAGCGTCTTACCGCCC